ACTACCCCCCCCCCCCCTCGAAAACCGGAGGGGGTCACTACCGGTTCGACCCCCCCCCCCCCACACGCACCGCCAGCAAACGACTCCCGGTCCCTACCACCGTCCGCATCACATCCCCCACTGTTGTTCCCAGCACCACTGTCCTCACCACCACTGTCCCCACTGGTTCCACCACCGTCCCTACTGTCCCCACCAGTGCCCCCACCACTGTCGCACTGTCCCCACTGTCCCCACCACTGTTCCCACCACGGTTCCACTCTCCCCATTGTCTCCACGGCCCCAACCACTGCCCGACTATCCCCACTGTCCCCACTGTCCCACTGACTCCTCCGCTGTCCCACTGAGCTGTCCCACTGTTCCCACCACTGTCCCCACTGTCCCCACCACTGTCCCCACTGTACCTCTGTCCCATTGTCCCACCGCCGTCCTCGCCACCGCCTTACCACTGTCCCCACCACCATTGTACCCTCCACTGTCCCACTGTTTCCACCTCATTCCCACTGTCCCCACACCACTGTCCCCACCACCACCGTCCCCACCACTGTCCACTGTCCCCCCTGTTCCCACCATTGTCCCCACCACTGTCCCCACCACTACCGTCCCCACCACTGTCCCACTGTCCCACTGTCCCCACCATTGTCCCGCTGTCCCCTCGCCACTGTCCCCACCAACACCGTCCCCACCACTGTCCGCACCCCCATTCGGTTTTCGAGGGGGGGGAGGGGGGAGGTTCGAACCGGTAGTGACCCCCCCCTGGTTTTCGAGGGGGGGGGTTCGAACCGGTAGTGACCCCCCCCCCTTTTCATGATGAACTGAGGGGGGGGGGGGAGGGGTTCGAACCGGTAGTGACCCCCCCGGTTTTCCGGAGGGGGGGGGGGAGTGGTTCGAACCGGTAGTGACCTTCCCCGGTTTTCCGCCAGCAACGGTAGAACACGCTCTTTCATATAATCACATACACATATGCTCGGCTGTGGACAAACCTCGTTTTAATAAACCACCCTTTAATGAAAGCGGCCTAGGACCGAAACCGACGGACCTGGACCCACAAAAATAACGGCCGTGACGCCCTCTCGCGAACCGAAAACGGCAAATTCACGAATCGACGTGTCAAAATAGGAAGTCTGTCAACCTCCGCTATGCGCGTCTGCCTCCTCCTCCTCCGCCTTCTCAGGCTACGTGCCGCAGCGGGCGGCCGCTCTTTATGGGGCCACGCGAGTTCGGCCCGACTGGCCAACTGCGTCTGCGAGCGAGGTCAGCTGCCATGGCAGCGCGCAGAGCTCCTTCGATCGATCGCCGACTCGATTCGGAGCTGCATTGCGATGTCTTGTCTCCGCCTTCTCCTCACTGCTCCTGCGCCTTCGACGCGCTCCAAAACCTCACGAAACTCCGCAGAGCCGAGACTTAGATCGGTGAACAGACGACAAGGCAACAACCCATCGGCGCTAATTACCCGCGCCGCTCGCCTGGTCAACACAGGGAGCTCCTTCTCCGTGCGCGCCTTGTACTCGGTCTTGAGAAGCGGCTCCGTCTCCTACAGACGGGCTGCTGAAGTCAGGAAGGATAGACAAGGTACGAGACACCTTTTTCAACATCAAATTAATCTGGGTGCTCGAGGAGGGCTAGTGGAACAACCACGGGAACGGCATAACCTAAGGAACAGTGGACCCCTTCCGAAACCGACGGGGCCCTTATTTCAGAGTTTTGACTGTGCACGCCTGCGCCCCAAGAGGAGGGAGAGGACGAGCAGGAGGATGGCCAGGAGAAGCAGCGAAACTGCGAGGAAGAGGGGGGAAAAGGAGAGGGGAGCGGAGGGGGGAGAAGGAACGACCGTGGAAGGAAAGCTCTTGAGAAGCAACGCCGTCTCCTCTTGCTCACGCCTCTGCAACTCCCGCGGAACACGCATGGGTGCGCAAAATAGAAACATAATCACATATGGTACCAATGAAACGACCTCCTTTCTCATAACTACTCGTCGCCTGCAACGACCCGGACTTCCGGGGGAGGGGTGCGCTGCTGAGGCCTTGTGTGGCTGGGGGATCCTGCCGAGTGCTTCCGCCAACTACGCAGCAGACTCTTTGGCGTGAAATGACTGCAACAACAGCGGTGGGAAAGCAAGCCTGAACGCGCAACTTTCACCGATGCGGGCTCACAACCCGAGACTGTCACCCAGTGGGGCCGGATGAAGGGGCTCAGACCCCGCTGGCCAGCCTGAGCCGAAATTGTACCCCACACCGCGAACGCCTGCTTTTCTCCTTCCCCCTTCCTCCTCTCCTCTTCTCCTCCCCCCTACCTCTCACCCTTCTTCTCCTTCGCCCTTCCTCCCCTACAGCTCCCCCTCCCAGTTCCGCCTCCCTGCATCCACTTGCGCGGCGGACTGTGCTGCGCTGGCCTCCGTGACTGTCAAGACCGAATCCAACAAGCCGGGCACAAAATTGGGAACGAAGAGGTGCTTGCAGAACGGCGCGTAGCCGGCACACAAAGGGTCCACGCCCTGGGAGACCTGCTCCTGCCAGGGCCCGTCCCGCAATTCCAGAGAGGCGATCCCTCCTCCTTTTGCTTTGGTCGGACTCCAAACACCTTGCTATTCCCTCCTCCTCCTCCTCCTCCTCCTCCTCCTCCTTCTCTTCGTCATCGTCACCATCACCATCATCATCGTCACCATCAACACATCATCAATATGAACATGATAATGCTCATCATGATCATCATCGTCGTCATCATCCTCATAATCCGTTGCTGCTCATATCCTCCCACTCCTGCGAACTTCCCGTCACCCCCCCGCCGAATGTCCACGGCCGTCTTGGGTAGGGTCCCAGGAGGACGAAAAAGGACACCATCATGTTCATGATGTTGATGTTGATGCTGCTGCGGTTGTCGGTGATGATGATGAAGATGAAGATGAAGATGGTGATGATGATGCTGGTGATGACCTGGCCACTTCTGGGCGGCCGAAGTCAAATCGCCGCTTCCATGAGAAGGCACCGGCCGGCGGGCTAGCAGCCGAGGGCGGCGACTGTGGCGTCCGCCGCCCGCAACACCCACGGCGCACCAGTAGTGCCGCGGCGGCCGTCGCGCTGCGTGCGGCCCTGCGCCCGCGAGGCGGCCGCCAAATCCGCGACCGTCGCGGCGGCGCCGGCGCTGAGGCGGCCGCCCGCCTCGACGGCGAGGCCGTCGACAAATGGGATCAAACGGCGTTGGCGCCTGTGATTAGCACCGACACTTGGCCGACAACAAGAGGGCGACAAACCCGCGACGCAACTGGTGCCGTTTCAGCGGACATGGGACAGCAACGCTTCCACGGTACCAGGGCAATTGGGCCAAGATGGCTACAGACAGGAGAGAAAGAGGTGGGGGAAAAGGGAACCGCAGCTGGCGGGAGGTAGCGACATGGCTACAAACAAGACAAGGAAAAAAGGGGGGCAGTGGAAGGGGCAGATGGAAAAGTGCTGCTCCTTCTCCTTTTTCCCCCTTTCCTCCCCCTCCAACACAATATGTTCTACGACGACGACGACGGCGACGGCGGACGACGACGGCGGACGACGACGACGACGACGCACTGCAGATGCCCCATGGGCCATACAGGGTGGGGGGGGGGGCAACGTAGGACCCCTGGAGTCGACATTAACGACGACGACGACGACGGAGGCGGACAACGACGACGACGACGAAAACAACGACGACAAAGACGAGAACGACGACGCGACGGCGACGACGACGCAGTGCGGATACCCCCCCTGGGGGAAGGGTGCTGTGGAGGCCCGTTGCAATCGAGGACGACGACAATGACGACGACGACAATGACGATGACGATGGCGACGGCGACGACAACGCGACGACGACGACGACGGCGACGCATGCCCCATGGAAGGAGGACGGGTCCTGTGCAGGCCCGTCGTAGTCGACCGACGACGGCGGACGACGACGACGACGACAACAGCAACGACGACGACAACGACGACAACGACTGTGGCACGTCAGTAGTCATCCTGAAACGGGGAAGCACTTCGCTTCGGCTGTGTACGATCCGTATGACAACTTCTGTGCGGAAGGCAATCATTATGAGGCAACCGTGCAGGGGGGTACACGATACCCTCGGCGGCGCCCGCGACGACCCGCTGGCGCGCGTGATTAAAACAATGTTACGCGCCCCGCGTGGTCTATTCATCAGCCGTGGGGAAGGGCATCATTCGTTAATCGCAAGGAGACCTTTGCGCGCCGCCTTGGCCTGGTCGCCACATGCATCGGCGGCCCCGGGGGCGTAGCCTGCGTCGGCCAGCGAGGGATTGAAAGGCGACCGGACGGCGACGTCCAGTTACCAACGCTCGGCGCTGGCAAGGAAAACGGCGACAAGGTCCATGACCGCCTCCCGGATCGTGTCGTCCGGCAGCGTCCGGTACAGCTTCGGCACCCGCCGCTCCAGGTCGACGACGGCGCCTGCGGAGCGACGCTCTTCCTCGAGGCCGCGCGCGACCCCAGTGAGAGCCCGCAGCCGCGTGGCGCTTCTGGGGCACGCCAAATGCGCAGCGCAGCGGCCGAGCACCTCGCCGCACTCCCGCACTTCCTCGCCACTTACGTCCTCGACGGCAGCGGTGCGCCGCAGCCTGCGGGCGGCCCCCAATGATGATGATGATGATGATGATGATGACGATGGTGATGATGATGATGATGGTGATGATGCTGATGATGATGATGGTGATGAGGACGACGGCGACGGCCACGATGACGATGACGATGATGATTATGAGTATGATTATGCTTATGATGGTGCTGATGGTGACAATGATAATGACGACGATAATGACGATGATTGCAACAATGATGGCTGTGAAAAAGTACAATAATAACAACAAGACAAATCCATCCTCAGCGGACCCTCGCACTCCTTTCCGAGACTGCTTCTCCATAGCGCGGTGGACTACAGGCAGTGACAGCACTCAACGTGTGGTGACGTGGGCCACATACATGCCAGCGCAACCATAGTATCGTGATCCAACTGATATCCTCTAAAATATTTGTACCGCATGCGCTGAATGCGCCCGAGCACACTCGTGGGGCTTTAACAGTGTGAAGAAGGTTTTAAGGATTTTAAGGGTTGTATGGTTTTAGGGATTTTAAAGGTTACTAGGGTTTAAAAGGCTTTAGGGGCTTAGAGGTCTTTAAGGGGTTTAGGGGTTGACGGTGAGGGTCTTGACCTAAGGAACCATAAACAAGGAACGAGGCCCCTATCTTTCCAAGTAAGCCCACGAAGCCAGAAAGAACGGCCGAGCCCCTTTCTGGCGGCGTTCCGCTACGATTTGCTCTTGCGATTCGACCCCCGCCCTCTCCGCCAAACCACCAAGGAACGCCCGCCCCCCCCTCCCCCGCCGCTCCAAAACCGCACGCAGAAGTGCAGCCTGCGAACGACGCGTTAGGAACGCCAGGGGCTCGGGCTAGGAACTGTGTCTTAACGCGACCACTTTCCGTTTCGGTTCCGCGCGTGAGCCCCCAATCGCACCGCGCAAGGAACGCCAGGGGCTCACGTGGTGGCCTGGGTCTTAAGTTGACCACTTTCCGATTCGGTTCCGAGCGCGAGCCCCCGCTCGCACCGCGCAAGGAACGCCAGGGGCTCGCTTGGGGGGCCGGGCCTCAAGTTGACCGCTTTCGGACTCGGTTACGCACGTGGGCCCAAGGTCGCGCCGGGCTTTTAAACGACCGCCGTCGCTTTACGTCGAGCAAGCGCAAGGAACCGAGCCCCCCCCGTGGAGCCCCGTTCCTTAGACCGTCCACCCCGACCGAAAAAAACGAACCCGCGCGTCCAAAATCGTAAGGAACACCGGGGGGGCTCGCCGCCAAAAAGGTAGCGGAACGCATGCAAACCTAAGGAATGACCGAACCCCTTTTGAAAAACAAGTGTTCCTTACTCAAGGCTTTCACTGTAATCCTGCGGAAAACGCCACAAAGGGATTCTACTGGAAAGCCTCACAGCAAAAAATCCTTTGGAAACCACAGCAAAAAGAGTCGATTTGGAAAACCTCACAACAAGAATCCTTTGGAAAGCGTCACAAACGGAATATATGGAAAAACCTCACAAACGGAATCCTTTGGAAATCGCCACAAAGGGATTCTATTGGAAAGCCTCCCAGCAGGAATCCTCTGGAAAGCGTCACGAAGGGATTTGATTGGACCCCCTCACAACAGAAATCCTCTGGAAAGCGCCATAAAGGGATTCTATTGGAAAGCTTCACAGCAGGAATCCCTTGGAAACCATTTCAAAAAGATCCGATTAGAACGCATCACAATCGGAATTCTTTGGAAAGCGCCACTAAGGGATTATATGGGAAAATATCACAATCGGATTTTTTTGGAAAGCGCCACAAAGGGATTCGATAGGAAAGCCTCACACCAGGAATTCTCTGGAAAGCACCACAAACGGATTTCATAGGAAAACTCACAATCGGAATCCTCTGGAAAGCACCGCACAGGGATTCAATTGGAAATCCTCACAACAGGAATCCTTTGGAAAGCGCTACAAAAGATTCGATTGGGAACGTCTCACAAACGGAATCCTTTGGAAAAGCCACGAGGCCACAATTGCGTGCTTGTTAAAAACGGCCAAACCGCCCAGGCCCGCATTGGGTCTGCTTCGGGAGGAGGAGGGGCATAGGAGTGTCACTACTTCATCCCTCCCAGGTCACGAACGAGTGGCAGGGCCATACGATTCTCAAACTTTCAATCTTCCCAAGTCACGAAGGCGTGGCAGGGTAATGGGGTTCTCAACAGGTCAGCCCGCCAAGGGTACGAACGCGTGGCAGGGCCGAAGAGGTCTCACCATGTCAGCCAGCCCAGGTCGGCCTCAAGAATCCAAAGGATCCCTCAAGAACACTGGGAAATCCAAGTTGGGGAGATACGTCCCCTTCCTCCTCCCTCCTCCTCTTCACCTTCCTCGCAGAAAAGGACAGGTGGTGTGGAAAAGGCAGGAACATGTTCGGGGTAGGGGCTGGGTCCGGTGGGGATGGGGCAAAAGGCTTGTTTTAGGGCCCCCCAGGGTTGGTATCTTGTCGAATGGACTGGTGAAGCAACCTCCTGGATGTATTCGCGTCTCGTTTGAAGCACCCGCCTCAACACGCTCGTTTATGTCCCCCAAAGAATACTACCACTGACTCTTTCTGCCAGAGGAATGCACGTGCGTTGGCTGTGACGGGCAACGGCAAAATGGGCGCGCAGTTGACAACCACTTGACAACATGATACATGAACAAACAACCAACGTGACAAGCACGACGACGACAAATCCCACCAGCACTCTGGGCAGGGTAGTTTAGGGTGCCGCCTCTTCCAAGCAATCTCTTCTGCAGCATACATATCTCCCCGTGGTCATGGGACGCCCTCGCGAGGGGCTGGAGCGTCCACGATGCTCCCGGGGACGGGTTCATCATAGTGATCAGCAGTAAATTGTTGTATTCAACATGGCGCACCATAGCTCACATTTTGCCGCACGTTCTGGCAACCAGGGACCAAACGC